GACTACGGTTCTCAGTCACAGAACACACTATTAGGTCATATATTCGTCTAGTCGTCATAACAAACGTTTCGCCAATTAAGATTGGAAAAAGAAGACCAGCGGTTTTAGGAAAATTCATTTGAAGTTTTCATATAAATCATTTACATTCAGTTAATATAGACGACATGAAATTAGAAATCTCCAAAAAGTAAGAATTTGACTATTTGAACTGAACAAGCAATTTGTATTCAGCCAATGTCTTCATCCCGAATAATATTCAGCTGGTCAGCTTGTTGTAACTTCGAAAAATCTACCGATTGTAGACCACAATCCGAACCGTCATTCTTGCTCACTGAAGTCTCACCTTCATCGAGGATAATTCGTACACTTACCAGGTCATTGTATGCTATCCACTTTGTAAGTCGTTTGGCAACATTGTGAATAGCTGTTAACGCTGGCTTTACTATAGACAATTCTCCTTCATGTATTCGAATCTAGTACATTAGGCGTTAACAACCATATGTAACACTTAGCTTTTACAGGTTACTCATTGCCTTTCGATTTCTTCTTGTATCCAAATAAACATGCAACACACCACCCCGATCGGACAAATGTGCGAACGTTATGGGGATAACTTGGAACATTGCGGACAACATGTTTAGGAATGGGGACAAAATGCGAAAACTGGGCACAATATCTGAAAAATGGGGAAGCATTGGAAAAGTTTTACTTAACTCGGTAGACTACTGTAAGTGGTAAAATGTTTAGGTCAAAAATACTTCACCGAGACTGGAAATGAATGAAACGCATGAAATAACTGCTGCATTCCTCCTAAATCCATGAAATCTACATTTTCCTATTGAATAATTTTAAATCTTACTGACCAATCAGTGCAGTTAGTGCAAAATTGCTTTGGTAAATGTTAATTACAGCGCAACCTATGTCAGGGTTTGTTTCATTACAGTTCCACATCTTGCGCACACTTTTAAACTGTTCAGCATGCAGGTAGGTGGTCGCTGTAGTCCCTTTTCTATTTTTCTCCTAGTCTAACACTAAATACCCTATACTAAACCTGAAAAGATTACGTGAGCGTAATCTACAATTGACCTGCCATTACACTACGTTTTACAGAAGATATAAACGTAATTATGCGCAGATAATGGCCGAGATAAATGCAGCGTCGACGTCAACGGAGGCTGTCTCACATGCCGTCCTTCCTGTTGAAGTCGAGCCCTCTTCAGTGAACACTGATAGTATGACTAATGAAACCGAAGTAGTGCCATCGACACCGTGCACCAGCGTAACACCATGTGCTAGTACTTCGGAAATGTGCACACAAGTCTCTTCTGAAAGTGATGAATTGACTAGTCTGCTTCTGAATATCCTGGTCACCACGAACATTTCACAAGCAGACGCTAACAGAATCTTGGAGATATTCCGTGCGAAAATGCCTCAACTACCAACAACTGTTAGAAGTGTACTGAGAATGTGTGGGTCTTGCGAGTCTAGACTACTGGGAGAAGGAATGTATTGCCACATCGGTCTCAAAAAATGTTTGCAGCACTACATGGAGATGTCGTCTGTGATTGAAAGTCCCAGCAACATGATTGACCTGCAGTTGAATGTCGACGGTTTGTCCATCTCGAAGTCTACTAACCAGCAGTTATGGCCCCTGTTAGGTAAGATTACGGCACCGTTTTTAAGCAGTGTTTTCCTGATAGGTATATATGGTGGTCCTAGCAAACCCAGCAGTTACAAAGAGTTATGCATTGACTTAGTATCTGAACTAAAGGATATATTAAGTCAAGGCATACACATTACCAGACTTAATAGGCATTTCAACGTTCGTTTGACAGCCGTCATCTGTGATGCACCGGCTAGAGCGGACTTGAAATATATAGTAGGTCACAATTGCGACAAATGCACAGTCACCGGAGTAAAAGTTGACGGAAGAATGACATTTGGAAATGGCTTTTTCCCAGTAGGAACTGATGACAGCTTCCGTAAAAGGATGCAGTCAAGTCACCACCGTGGCGACTGTATCTTTGAGGAATTAAACATTGATATGGTTAAGTGCTTCCCTCTTGATCCAATACACCTAGTGTACTTAGGGGTAGTTAGGAAGCTTATAAGTCTCTGGCAAGACTTAGCTAAAAAAAATGAGATGCACGTGGACCGTCTTATGCTAGAAAATATTGACGGGAAGATATTAGACTGTGCTGGAATGACACCCAGGGACTTCCCGAGGAAATGTAGGGGGCTAACTGAAGTTAGTCGGTGGAAAGCCACAGAATGTCGCCTGTTCCTCCTGTACCTAGGACCAGTTGTACTCAAGGACATAATGCCACTGGCAATTTATCGCAACTTCCAAAGATTAAGTCCTACCTTTTGTCTCACCCTAGATTTTATAGAAATTACTTAGAAGGTTGCAGAGTTGAGTTAATCAACTTTCTTAATGAGTTTGAGGTTATATACGGTAGGAAGCACCTAGTTTATAACATCCATTGTCTGCAACACTTGGCTGAAGATGTCAATCAAATGAGACCGTTGGAATCTTTTTCGGCCTTCCCATTTGAATCTTATATGCAGACAATCAGGCGATCAATACATTCAAACAATGCAATCGCTAAGCAAGCGGCAAACCGTTTTGCTGAAAAGGTGTTCCACGACTGCAAATCAGGAGGAGTACACAATGAAGTTATAAATGACTGTGAGGTGGATGCACGTAGGCAAACAGTTAACACCAGGAATACACTTATTACTTCCTCTTCACCAGATAACTTAGTTACAGCTCACGGTAGACCGGGTCTGATAACTCAGATAAATAGGGAAGGACTAATATTCAGACCTTATGCAGAGTTTAGTGATTTCTTCGAGGAACCATTTAAGTCATCCCACATTGGGATATGGAAATGCTCAAAAGTTAGCCCATACAAGGTAGGAATTCGTCCGTCAGACATTACTTGTAAGTGTTTCGGAATTCGTACAGATAGGTATGAAGTTGCGGTGCCTTTGCCTCATACTTTTCCATAACCTACTTACACATTTGTGTCAGTCGTCGGCATTCCTGCGTTCAATTGCCAAGCGGACTATTAAGACAGTAAATTTTGTTTATATCATATTTATCATTTCTTACAGAAAGAAAAGAAGAATTATGCTGTATTACGGAAAGCTGGTTCCAAAGAATTATTCATAGCTGCCAGAAGTTGGGTGCTATCCGAAGACCTGTGCTTGTATCATAGCAGCATAACAGATAATGAAGTTGAGGCATGCGTAAGACCTCGACCGGAATGGGTGTTAACGGATTGTCAAATGTTAGCTGAACTAGGTAACTATTTACATATTAACTACATTACTGTAATTAGACTCTTTCGTGGAAGCCAAGAATACTTTGCAGGCTACTAAACGAATACACAGTATACTCTCCAATTCAGATAATCTGGAGGATACATTATCTCCTACCCATTCAAAACGTCAATGGCAGATTCCTCTTATTGCTTAATCACAGAATGCAGAGTCGAGACAAAGAACTCTTCTTTCGCTACCTATGACGTTTTGAATTGGTAAGAGATAATGTATCCTCCAGATTATCTGAATTGGAGAGTATACTGTGTATTCGTTTAGTAGCCTGCAAAGTATTCTTGGCTTCCACGAAAGAGTCTAATTACAGTAATGTAGTTAATATGTAAATAGTTACCTAGTTCAGCTAACATTTGACAATCCGTTAACACCCATTCCGGTCGAGGTCTTACGCATGCCTCAACTTCATTATCTGTTATGCTGCTATGATACAAGCACAGGTCTTCGGATAGCACCCAACTTCTGGCAGCTATGAATAATTCTTTGGAACCAGCTTTCCGTAATACAGCATAATTCTTCTTTTCTTTCTGTAAGAAATGATAAATATGATATAAACAAAATTTACTGTCTTAATAGTCCGCTTGGCAATTGAACGCAGGAATGCCGACGACTGACACAAATGTGTAAGCAGGTTATGGAAAAGTATGAGGCAAAGGCACCGCAACTTCATACCTATCTGTACGAACTCCGAAACACTTACAAGTAATGTCTGACGGACGAATTCCTACCTTGTATGGGCTAACTTTTGAGCATTTCCATATCCCAATGTGGGATGACTTAAATGGTTCCTCGAAGAAATCACTAAACTCTGCATAAGGTCTGAATATTAGTCCTTCCCTATTTATCTGAGTTATCAGACCCGGTCTACCGTGAGCTGTAACTAAGTTATCTGGTGAAGAGGAAGTAATAAGTGTATTCCTGGTGTTAACTGTTTGCCTACGTGCATCCACCTCACAGTCATTTATAACTTCATTGTGTACTCCTCCTGATTTGCAATCGTGGAACACCTTTTCAGCAAAACGGTTTGCCGCTTGCTTAGCGATTGCATTGTTTGAATGTATTGATCGCCTGATTGTCTGCATATAAGATTCAAATGGGAAGGCCGAAAAAGATTCCAACGGTCTCATTTGATTGACATCTTCAGCCAAGTGTTGCAGACAATGGATGTTATAAACTAGGTGCTTCCTACCGTATATAACCTCAAACTCATTAAGAAAGTTGATTAACTCAACTCTGCAACCTTCTAAGTAATTTCTATAAAATCTAGGGTGAGACAAAAGGTAGGACTTAATCTTTGGAAGTTGCGATAAATTGCCAGTGGCATTATGTCCTTGAGTACAACTGGTCCTAGGTACAGGAGGAACAGGCGACATTCTGTGGCTTTCCACCGACTAACTTCAGTTAGCCCCCTACATTTCCTCGGGAAGTCCCTGGGTGTCATTCCAGCACAGTCTAATATCTTCCCGTCAATATTTTCTAGCATAAGACGGTCCACGTGCATCTCATTTTTTTTAGCTAAGTCTTGCCAGAGACTTATAAGCTTCCTAACTACCCCTAAGTACACTAGGTGTATTGGATCAAGAGGGAAGCACTTAACCATATCAATGTTTAATTCCTCAAAGATACAGTCGCAGACTGCATCCTTTTACGGAAGCTGTCATCAGTTCCTACTGGGAAAAAGCCATTTCCAAATGTCATTCTTCCGTCAACTTTTACTCCGGTGACTGCATTTGTCGCAATTGTGACCTACTATATATTTCAAGTCCGCTCTAGCCGGTGCATCACAGATGACGGCTGTCAAACGAACGTTGAAATGCCTATTAAGTCTGGTAATGTGTATGCCTTGACTTAATATATCCTTTAGTTCAGATACTAAGTCAATGCATAACTCTTTGTAACTGCTGGGTTTGCTAGGACCACCATATATACCTATCAGGAAAACACTGCTTAAAAACGGTGCCGTAATCTTACCTAACAGGGGCCATAACTGCTGGTTAGTAGACTTCGAGATGGACAAACCGTCGACATTCAACTGCAGGTCAATCATGTTGCTGGGACTTTCAATCACAGACGACATCTCCATGTAGTGCTGCAAACATTTTTTGAGACCGATGTGGCAATACATTCCTTCTCCCAGTAGTCTGGACTCGCAAGACCCACACATTCTCAGTACACTTCTAACAGTTGTTGGTAGTTGAGGCATTTTCGCACGGAATATCTCCAAGATTCTGTTAGCGTCTGCTTGTGAAATGTTCGTGGTGACCAGGATATTCAGAAGCAGACTAGTCAATTCATCACTTTCAGAAGAGACTTGTGTGCACATTTCCGAAGTACTAGCACATGGTGTTACGCTGGTGCACGGTGTCGATGGCACTACTTCGGTTTCATTAGTCATACTATCAGTGTTCACTGAAGAGGGCTCGACTTCAACAGGAAGGACGGCATGTGAGACAGCCTCCGTTGACGTCGACGCTGCATTTATCTCGGCCATTATCTGCGCATAATTACGTTTATATCTTCTGTAAAACGTAGTGTAATGGCAGGTCAATTGTAGATTACGCTCACGTAATCTTTTCAGGTTTAGTATAGGGTATTTAGTGTTAGACTAGGAGAAAAATAGAAAAGGGACTACAGCGACCACCTACCTGCATGCTGAACAGTTTAAAAGTGTGCGCAAGATGTGGAACTGTAATGAAACAAACCCTGACATAGGTTGCGCTGTAATTAACATTTACCAAAGCAATTTTGCACTAACTGCACTGATTGGTCAGTAAGATTTAAAATTATTCAATAGGAAAATGTAGATTTCATGGATTTAGGAGGAATGCAGCAGTTATTTCATGCGTTTCATTCATTTCCAGTCTCGGTGAAGTATTTTTGACCTAAACATTTTACCACTTACAGTAGTCTACCGAGTTAAGTAAAACTTTTCCAATGCTTCCCCATTTTGTCTACATTTTTCAGATACTGTCCCCACTATGTCCGCACATTTGTTCGATCGGTTTAACCTGTTCATGTGCATGAATTCAAAAACTTTTACACAATACTATTTAATTAACATCTGTAATCACTAATAACACTTCAACCACGCATCAAAGCACTTGTAATGGAATAGTTTCACACGTTGACCTATGAAACTATTCGAATGGAATGGATGAACGGTCCTGATGGTTAAATCTTCTGAAACAAACAAAAGAACTGATTTTATGAACAACGGAAACACAAATGAGATGAAACGAAACATTTGTGTAGAGTGTGCATCAAGAAAAAATGCGAATAACTGCCAGGTAAACGCAAAACCAATGTGTAAACGAACTGTTAGGGAAGGGAAATACAAAGTAGCCGAATAACATGGCAAAAGTGAAACTCAGGACGTTGTGTGAGTACCTTGATATGATTATGAAGTGTAATAAATTGTGCTCGAAACGTCATCAGTAAGCATTACTGTATAGCACCGTGAGACTTTGTCAAAACGAAATATTTTTCATAATAGAATTACACTCTACCACATTGCACAAGTTTTATTCTTATTGCAAATGTATAGTATCCTTCCAAGGAGTCTACAGCTCCTTCTATATATCTTGTTAACAAGACCCAAGCTTGTTATAATTCTGAATTAAATCTCAGTAATTCTGAAATAATTCTAGCATCCTATAGTGAGTAAATTCCTAATTTGTTCTGAAATCGTTTGTTTAATGGCACAGACTTGAACTCAGTGCTAGTTTTCAGCATAACTAGCTCTAATTCAGAACCGTGTTCTTCTTCTAAGCATTGTTAGGAGTAGATCAGAACCTACCGGGTTCGCTCATCAGCTTTATTTCAGCCCTTTCAGAACATTTTCAGCACTGACTAGCACTAATTCAGAACGAAAAGTCTAAATTCAGCACATAGTGGTAATTTTTTCAGCCTAATTGAAGCCTTCGCAGATCATTTTCAGCACTGACTAGCATTACTTTAGAACGAGAAAGACTTCTACTTATTATCATCACCTGTGTCCTACGGCAGCGCAATTCATTTAGTTTACAGAAGAAATCAGTTTTTATAATTGAGACTTTTGTATTTATAAACTGTAGTATAATGTCACTGCAATCCCGTCAAGTGCGATCCACTGGTAGCATCCTGCAAATAAGCAGAATAAAAGATTAGTGGGTGAAAAATTGTGCTCAGCACATTCTTAGCATTTACATTTATAAAAGTTTACTTACACAAGTGCCACTGTTATATCCCCCGGTATCTTTTTCATTTGCCTAGAAATAAAAACAATGTTGTGACTACTACATGTTGACTAAACGTTGACATATAAAAGTAAGCAGGTGTTTCACTATGTTACCTGAATTCCTTGCTTTCGCTCACGCCTCTGGACATGGTCTTTCAAATTATGAAAGTACGATTTCGTGGCCCTATCCATCATTTCACCAATCTCTCTTGTCGTCATTAGTTGGCCGGAGAAGTGCGACATAATTAAAGCTAGAGAACTAATTACTTCATTAATGAAACTTACTTCTCATTATTTTATAAAAGGCATAAGGCACAATGCTTGACTTTGTCAAACTCCCCTGGAATGTAAACTTCAAACCCAATTCAGGTTTTATAACATGGTGCATCATGACCTTAAGTGATAACTTTGGATCACTCTGAAGGCAGCTAGCCATCTTAGCAGTCTACAAGAAATAAGAATTAAATACGTCAACTCACATATTGCTGTTTGTACTTTTCGTCTCTTAAAGATGCTTCCAGCATCTCTAACTGGTCTTCATTCTCGAGCGGAAACTGCCGTGTTGAGTCCCCGTTTGCTGGAGGGTAGGTTTGCTTTCGAGATTTTCTATCAGTAGTCATAATGTTCAACATTTTCGTTCACAGGTTAATGATTTCCATATTTGTATCTTTAAATAAATATTTTCAAGTAATTACCGAGTAATTTCTTAATTGAGGATTCAGTAGCATATTCGTTAGACGGCAATCTAAAGCATGAATAAAAATTGTTACAATTATTCCTGCCGGTCACACACACACGTCTTTTTGCCAATAGGAGATGAAGACTGGAATATGGGGGCACCCGAAGTACTGAAAATGAAGGGCTTTCAATTAGGTTAATACCTTGGATTTGGGGCTACGATGTCAGCAAATATGTTATAATCTGGATATTGTGGTTTGATGCAACCAACCTCACTGGCGGCTACATCAATATCCATTGAGTTGTAAAGGAAATTTTTATCATTTTTCTTGGCATCCCTGAAAAATATGTTAGACAGACAACGGTACCTACCTTTTCGGTCTCCTGCTAGGCATTGGCAACGTGTCATCGTTCGTGTCTACCTTCTTAGTGCCACGACCATAGCTTCTCAAAAGCTCTACGCCCTTTTGACAATTCTCATACGTATCTAGAAGGGTGATAAAGAAATATTCCAACTTACCAAATTCCTCTGGTTGAGAGAACTTAAACACTGACCATCCATCCCCCAGAAACACAGACTATAGATGGTTTGCAGTGCTGTTGTATGCACATAAACCAATTTGCACAACCCAAGTATTTGGGATAGCGACTACAGTGTCATCTTCCAGCGAACGGACGATGAGAAATCTGATTGATGTAGAATTCTGCAAAAGGATATGAAATGAATTGGAAATACGGCTGTGTTACTTTATTATGCATCAGGTTGCTTATAACAGCATAAATAACAGCATGGATATGCCTATATCTCAAAAACGCGGAATAGACTGTCAAATGAACTTCAGTTTGACCAACAACATTAGCCAGTTAGAGGAAGATTTTCGGACTTGACAACAAATAGACGTTGCAAAAGAACTTAGACGAATTACATATCAACAGTTCAAGCCAAAAATTACGGCACAGTACTTTCAATTAAAAGTATGAAGCAGGGGGATAACTACTTCGTCGTTAGTTGTTGGAACGGTCATGCACTTGCAGACAATATTCACATAGGATATCCAGTGTGTTTCGTGACTGGATTTTGAACATCTGAATATCCCTAAATTCCTTGACTTAAACGGTGTAGTGAAATCATCACTATAATCGCTATAGGGTCGAAAACGTATTCTATCTTCACTTTCCATTTCAACTATATTCCCTGGTTTACCTAAGGCTAAGATGACATTATCCGGAGAATAAGGTGTGAATATGGTATTCAGATACGTTAGCTTTCCTTTGCAAAATTCAACACACTTAGTACCAGCTTCTTTAGGTACGTGCTTCACGCCTGTACTTTTCATTAAGTACACGTGTTCAACATAGCGCTGAGCTGCCTGCTTAGCCACAGCATAACCACAGTGCACGGACTGTCTTATCTTTCGCATATAGGATTCGAAGGGAAATGCGCTGAATTCTTCCAATGGCCCATGCAGCTCGACGTCATCCGCTATATGTTTCAGAGAATGTATATTGTAAACAATATGTTCATTTCCGAAACAATTCTCATATTGCAGTAAGAAATTACTCAAATCTGTCCGAGCAGCATCCAAAAACAGTCGGCTGTATTTGGTACTCGAAAGTAAGCATACTGCCAGGGATAATCTCCTGAAATTAGCGTACAGGTGGCATGGTAGAGTGTTTCTAAGTAGGACGGGACCCAAATACAGTAAGAAAAGTCTACACCCAGTTGCTTTCCATTGGCTAACGTCATCTAACGACCGACATTTCCTCTGAAAATCGCAAGAAATGTGTCAATGGAGTTGAAGATTGAACGATCAATTCTTGGTTGTTTGCTCAAAATCAACTTCCCCAATTTTCGCGGAGGCATCAATACGACAGTCATCGTCTCATCGGTCGCTGTTCAGAAAGAAGAGTAAAACATCGTCAGAAGTAATCTTATGATTTATTATTGTAATATTTGTTCACAGACCCTAGTTCAGTTATTATTTTTATATGTTGGTGTAACAATAAACAAATATCAAGCGGCCAATCGGTGTTTCGGTTATTTCGTCCGTTATAACTAAGCGTTTCTGAAAACTTCAAGGAACAGCGTGGGCCCGAGCGTAGCAAGAGCTGGGCATTAACGGTTTATGAGACGTGATTGACAGAATGTGTTTCCTACTTACTTGCAGTCCGTTATTAATATCTGCGATAATCCTACTATCCATATGCTTCTCTCGCCGTGCTGCAAGACCCTGCCAAAGGAACACTAACTTCTTAACAACACCAAGGTATATTAGATGCATTGGCTCCAAGGGAAACGATTTTACCATATCAAGTGGCAATTCCTCAAGACAGCTTCTGCCCCGATGGTGACTTGCTTGAACTTGACCACGGAATGTCCTATCATTTCTAAGTGTATGGTTCCCATTAGGAAATGTCATCCTACCCTACAAACAACAACCTATAACTTCACATTTATCACAACCTGTTTTTCCATTGTGACCGACGGTTTGTTTTACATTAGAACGAGCAGGTGTGTCACATATAAATGCTAGAACACTGACAGTCACACTCCTACCCCACTTCTCAACATATAAACCGTATTTATAAAGATCTTTCAATCCAGCTAATAGGTCCATAGCAACCTCATTGAAGTTGCTCGGTTTTCTCAAACCGCCATGTATGCCAATTAAAAAAACGTCGCTGACGTATGGAGTTGTGATACGACCTAGGAATGGCCATAATTGCTGCGAAGAACTGTTTGATATAGATAAACCGTCATAGTTGATTTGCAAGCCAATATGTTGAAAAGTACCGTAGTCAACCCAACTATCTAGATAACGCTGCAGATTTTCCTTCAGTCCAATGTGATAGTAAACACCTTGTCCAAGAAATTTAGGTACACACATGCCACTATCTTTTAGCAAGCCTCTTATGGTTGTTGGCACATGTGGATTAAATTTACGAATACAGTCCAAGATATTTTGCGCAAGCGCCCCTGTTACATTGTTCTGAAGGAACAATTCCATAATTGACTTTCTGACCAGCTCTCCTTGTGTCATCTTTTTAGG